AAAGTGAGAGAATAAGAAGTGAAAGAAAAAAAATATTCCATTTGATTTACACGGACAAAAAAAAAGTAAATAATTATTGCATTCCTACAAGTAAAAGTAAAACATCAAAATCACTCCTTTCTGGTCTCTAATTTCTTCTTAAACTTTCTCTTTCCAACAGAATTGAAGTTTGTCCTCACCTTCCAAATACTCATAAGCAAAAATGAGGAGGAGAAATTTTAACCTCTTTACTTTTCCTATCTTCTTTAGAATTAAAATCAATTAATTTTATATATACAAGTCCCTTCCGTTTCCTTTATTATCTTCCGACCAAACAAACAGCACATGAACATCTCAGAAAACAATATTGAGACACATTTTGCGATTGAAAGGCAATTAAGGTTATGGAACATCGGTAGCCAAGATGGTATGATGGGATATTTTTGTTTGGGGCATATATATGGGAAAGCTATTTCCTGAAGAAGTATACAGAAAATATAGTTGTTCTTTTAAGTATGCATCTTATAAAACTTGAAAAGGCTTTCATGGCCAGAATCTAGTTGGAACATGGCTACATTCTCTTTGCATTATTCACATGGGCACATAAGTATGGGGAACATTAAACGATGTAACGGGGACCTGATTGTGATGTGTAGCTTGGCGTTTTAAATACTGTGACCCCATCAAATTCTCTAGCTCAGCTTTGCCAGCTCAGCCTACACCAAGTTGTGAATTATACCCTTCTTTTATTTTACATCAATGGGCCATGAAAATATCGGCAAAACAACCAGGTCCACAAAGTCAGAATGTGTCTGTGGTCATTTAGTAGTGTGCTAATGACATTGTTGGGCTTCTTATTCAACTTTGCGTGCCCAATAAAAAGGGATACTGACCAAATAAAAGAGCGTTGATAAAAAAAGGAAAGACCAAAAGAAAAAGAGTTAGGTTAAAATTTCGGATTGTAACTAATAATATAGTGTGTATTAAAAAAAGTATATTACAAAATATATTACTAATATTTTTTAGGAAAAATATTCTACATGCTCATAATAAAAATTAGTAAAATTTTGATATCATGCAAAATATAAACATTAAATTTTATGTTTTATTATTTGGACACTAAAATTTTAATATTTGTATATAATTATATCTATTTTTTATACACTTATTTCAAAAATACCCCTAAAATTCAAAGAAATATTGTTTTCCTGTCTCAAATTTATGCATTATTAAGATAATTTCCTTAAAATAAAACATTTGAACAGAACAGGAGCAAATAAGTATTCGGGCGAAAAAATACTGTGCCATTTTATATAAGAATGGAATAATTTTTGGACATCTTATGAAAATTATATAGTTATATATTTTGATAATATTAAATAAATATTTTTTAAATTAATATAAATTTATCTAAAAAATAAACATAACAATTTAACGTAATTTTGTAGTGAAAATACGAGGACATGAATTCTTATGCACATTACATCGTTTATGGGGAGAATATAACTTGTAGTCATTAGAGGTCTGCTGAAGTAATTAGAATATTAAAAGAATAATTTTATATTTTTAAGATATTAAATAAACTTATTTTAATTTAATATTTTCTTATAAAACATTGGAATGTTAAAAATAACCATGCTCTCTGTCGCTTGTAATCCCTAGAAATCAATTTTGATGAATATAATTTTTTTTTCTGTCGTTAAACTCGTCCCTTGTAACTCATATCGTGACAGTTTGAATCATTAATCTTTTCTTATAAATGGTGTTGCATTTTGTTTGCACGAGCTAGTAAGTAGGAACAACCAAACTAATAATCATGATGGGGAAAATAATATATGGTGTCCCCAACCAGATGTAATACATATATAGAGGTATTTGAGTAGAGTTAACAGAACTTATCTTTTATTTAAGCCTTAAATTAAGATTAAGTTTAAATTTGATTCAAATTTTTATTTAACAAAGCTTAGCCAGGTTGGTATAGTCAAACTTATCCATTTAACTAGCTCTAGTAATATACTAATACTTCGTATATATACAATAGGTTGATATGGAAGTTAGTTTTTTTTTTATAAAAGAAAAAAAAAATTTATGTAATAATTATCCTTAATTTTAAAAAGTTTTAGATGAAAGAGAAAGAGTTTATAAGTTCTTTAAAATTCTTTTAATTTCATGTTTTTAATTTTTTTTTAAATTTAGAGAGTTTTGTATTTTTTTTTCTTTTATTCTATTTTTTAAAATTTTTAAACAAAGTCTTGGTAAAACTTTTTTTTCATAAAATTATATATTAAACACAAATTTAGTTTCATTAAAATAAAAAACATAAAATAAGAAAATAAGAATTATATTCATAAATTATTTTATTTTAAGTAAACGATAAATAAATCACTATTTTCTCATTTTATATATTTCTTCTACATTAAACGATTCGAATATGTTCAACATTTTGTCTAAAAAAAAGTACATGCTATTTTAAATGGTTTAGTTATAAAATTTATTTTTGTACTTGTATTATTTTTTGTTTTAAATTTTATATACTGAAATTATACATTTTAATTCTTACGTAAAAAATTATTTACAAATCTGTCCCTACCATTTAGCTAAATTAGAATAATGTCAAGTTTGATATTTTTTTTAATTTTTGTAATATACATTTTATTTTGGTCCCTGTATATAATTTTTTTTAATTTTAGTCACTATGTTTTTAGTTTCTTGCATGAAAAATAGTAAGGGTGTTATAATTTTAATAAATTTATTTCAATAAAATTAAAAATAAGATTCTTTATATAGAAACAAATAAAATGTGACTGAAACTAGAATTTATCTTTCTTTAAACTATTGTGAAAACTTTTGAGAGGGGTAAAGTGAACCATCAAGTGAGTATATTTTGTTATTCTATACTGAACCATCCTCTTGGATGTACCAGCCTTCTAAAGTACCAAATGGTGAAATTGGCACATGCTACCTAGCGATTCATTTTTCGTTAGAAATTAACTTCTTAGTGCTTAGAGAGAAGCAGTCTCATGATAATATAAATGGCTAACCATTCGAAGAAGTTGCAAAAGTGGCTATTATTTTAACTGTGAATTCTATTATATATCGAAATTTAAGAGACACATGCTGCAACCAACAAGTGTTGTTTATTATATATGGAGACACATCAAATTCTATGCTAATTATGGAGACACAACAAAAGTCAATATATGCTGCAATACTGCTTGTTGATGAAAGTGAAGCTAGAAAGCTGTTAACAGCCAAAACCTATTTCAAATTGCTGTCAGTAATTCTGTCAATACTTTTGGTAGTTAAAGCAAAAAGAAAATAATCTCTTTGGTGACTGATCCATCCACCATGATTATGAAATGCGCTTCAAGTCAATGAGAGACTTGGTTGTGGTCTCTAATTTTACAGAAAAGGAACAAGTGTAAGCCTAATAAAAGGTCAGATTAATTGAACCCCACGAAAATTCATAGACCAGCTGTTGATTCAGATTTTTCAAGAACTAATATGAGGGATTATTTCAAACAGTTTTGTTAACCATAATAATGATTAAAATTTTGAAAGTGTAGAATTTTTGTTAAAAAATAAAACATTTATCAATATTAAATGTCATGATTTTCAATAAAGAAAATTATATAATTTTTTAATCACTATTGAATAATGGTCAGGAAAAACCCTACACTTCAAAATTTCAAGCATGAGTGAGCGACCCTGCGAAATTACTATTATTTCCACGTTCAAAAGTTGAAGCACTTAAGTGATGGGTTGCTTAATACGTAATACCTATACATACAATTACTTTTCTCTTGTTGCTCCCAAAAAGTAAATATTCACTGTAAACAAAAATATAATAAAAAAGTCCCATTGAAATTTAGGGACAAAGGCATAAATTTTCGCCAAATATTTAATTGAAATTGCCGCACTTTAATTTCTTCGTTCCCACTGGCCAACAGTAACCCCCCACACGCTACAATCGTTCCAAGGAAAACATGAGAGAAGGAACTTGAGTATGACTACATATATGAGCGATAATGGGAAGAATTTTCATGTTTTACTATTTTGAGTAATCTAAGGTAATTAAAAAAAAAAATTCTTTTTACTCAAATCCATTCCACAGTTATTGCTATGCTACGTAAATATATATAATTTTGGGTGCACCTGATTGTTGTTTGGTTGACTTCAAATTAGGGCTTCTGTTCCTGAAAAATGACTACTTTTCATTTGCTATAGCTAGTAGATTTATGGTTTTTCAAAGCGTGGTTTGAAGGCTAGATGGGTAGACCAACATCAGGTAACCAAGTTGTAGATATATAGTATGAAGAGGGAAAAAAAACTGGTTAGCAATGTACAAATTAACAATTTTTAATATTTTTATTATTATGTAAAATTTTATGTTGATCCCACCAATAAACAGTGAGGGTCATATTATTTGATGGAATTATAATATGAGATTTTACCAAATAAAAAAAAATAAAAATTATATTACTAAATGTTTCTCTTGCTTCAAATACTAAACAAAAAGCACTTTAGACACGCTAACTTTATGTCTGCATCAGACACTATCAATAATTGTTAGTTTCAAACATGCAAACCAAAGACATCTAAATTGTTGAAGATTCATTTATATCCACTTATACTTAAGCAATGGGTTATACCTGGATTTTGTTGTGAGCACATGACCCTTTACCTTATTCTAACACGTTTCCATTTTTAATTACTGTTTTACCTTTTTTTAATCTCATGGCAATTTTTGTGCCTTAGTAATGTGGATTAATTTCAATCTAGAATTGATTCGCTTGCCACATACGGTGGGCGGCTTTGCCATGGTGTACTTGTATTTTAGAACTCGAGTGGAGTGATTTTATAATTAATAATGCTAATTGTTTTTTAAACAAAGAAAAGAAGATTATTGCTTTCTTTTAATTGGACCCATTGATCACCGAGACTAGGTCCTCTAGAAGCATATGGTGGAGGACGGCTAGAAAGATTTTTAGGGAAAAAAAAAGAGATATATGAAGGGTGCGATGCAAGGGCAAGAAGAAGTGGTACTAAGGGGTTCAAAGTGCCAAGACTGTGGGAACCAAGCCAAGAAGGAATGCTCATACTCTAGGTGTAGGACTTGCTGCAAGAATAAAGGGTTTGAGTGCCCAACCCATATCAAGAGCACTTGGACTCCTGTGGATAGGAGGCGCCAGAGGGAGCAGCTACAACCTTCTCCCCCTACTTATCAAGGAGAGATTCCTCAAAAGCACAAGCAGATCAACCCATATTCAGGTTACTATTTTTAAATATATGTGTATAACCAAAATTAACATCCATATATGTATACTGCAGAGCCCTATATAGGCGCTTTTGCTTTTTTAATTTTTGTTTTTGCTCAGTTATATATGTAGTAAACTAGTAGTTATCATAATCTCTGTCTGGCGAATATCATACTCATATAGCTAGTGAGTGATTCTAAATACTAATTAAGCCTATTTGCATCTTTCTGTTCAAACTTCGTTCTGGTTGCTAAATTACTGTTTATTTTGTCGTTATCTGGTTAACACTAGAAATGTAGAAACATGGCCATAATAGAAAATATGGTTTTCTTTTTTCAGGTTTCGAGTTCAAATTTCCAGCTGCTATGAATTCCATGGCTATATTTCGGTGCGTTCAGGTTCGTTCTATGGATGATGCGGTTAATGAAATCGCATATCAAACATCTGTGAACATTGGAGGACATTTATTTAGTGGTCTTCTATATGATCAAGGTCCTGAACAAAGCTATCATAGGGGTGACAGTTCCAAGGGTCTTGTTGATCAGCAGCAGAATCTTGATCTTACCAATGCTTCAGTCCACACTAGAGATAGTGGTGCAACTACTACTATGGCCTCCACTGCTCATGATGAGCCTTTGTTTACTGCACCACCATATCCATTTCCCCTTGCTCCTTTCAGGCCCGGTATGCCATATTTCTCATACCCAAAACCATAGTTCAATTCTTTCTTGATCATGAAAGACATGAGAGAGAAAGCATTTTGAGGTGGGAATCAAGAACAGAATGGAATATCGTCATTGATGGATGAATGAAACACTTACTAATTCAGCTAGCAAGCTAGCCACCTTCTTGGAGCATTAGTTTATTAATTATTTCTCAAGTAATTACACAATATTAATTATACCGTAGAAACATATTCATTAAACAAATGTGACCGAGAGAGCTTGTTTTTTTCTGGTTGAAATACCGATGACTCAGTTTGTTCCCCATATGGTTTTGTTAATTTAGCATGTGGCATGTGTCCCTACATATAAGTTTTGCACTTTTGTCGTCTTCGTTTGATGTGGTTCACTTTTTAGATTTTTGTCGATGATAATGTTTTCCTGAACTTCGAGTCCCTTTGTCACCATTATTGTAGTAGTCTATACTTTTGCCAGCTTGAAGCATAGTTGGGACAAGTTTCCAAGTTTTCTAGACAATTAATATTTAACACTATAATCAATTCGTTTACATGTATGTCGTGTCTATAGGGCTGCATCAAACCCAAAGTTTCTAGATAGGAACAAGCACACATGACAACATAACTAAAAGAGATGATAACGTGTTGTTTGGCAAGCTATGGACTTTTCGAAGCTTGGTAGGTTCTTTTATTTGTTCCAATGGCGTGCGCGCGGACATTGAACAGAAAATTTTCTTTGCAAAATTATTCTTTCACACTCACTTTTTGAGTATACACTGAGTGAAAGAAAGAGAGAAATAAGAAGAGAAAATATACAAAAAGGAGGAAAAATAAAAACCATGACAGAAAAAAAGGAGTGACTTAAAAATAAAAAACAAATATAAGAGAAAATGAATGTAAAGATAGAAGAGTTCTTTATCTTTTAGATATCATTCCAAAGACACGGGAGTTCAAGTTTACCTGAGCTATGAGTAAATGCATTTTTCTCCCGTTCGCATTGATTGTTATTGAATAATTTTTATGTTTTTATATTTATTATATTAAAAATATAAAAAAAAATTATATTTTTTTAAAAACTATTTGAAATCAATTAATATGACATATTAAGTATTTTAATTTTACAAAATATAATTGGTACGAAAGAGATATATAAGGCTATAAGCATAGATTACCGGCACACATTTTATTAGAAGCAATTTTTTCATTGCTTCGTGATTTATTATGCTTCCCCAATTGTTCGTCGAGTATAGATCCATCCATCATATTTAGTACCACAAAGTTTTTTACAAAATGAAAGCGTTGGTTTCCTTAACTGGTATTTAACATGTCTTCTTTTTTTAAATTTTATGCATTTATTTTTTATATATAAAAACTCTTGTTTTTTCCTAAAAATTCACAACTACAAATCCGAACAAATAAACGCGCGCATATATAAATAAATAAACAGATAAATATCAAGATATCATTTTCGTACAATAATTATATAATATTTCTCTCTATTTTTTTTATAACAATACCTTTCTTATTTTATTTTATTTTATCTCTCTTACTTGTCTAACTTGTTATGTACATTCGTTGTATAAGTATAATATCAAATATATATAAATATAGAAATACATATGGTTATAAGTAAATGTGTTATTTTCAATGATAAATTTATTCACCACATCTAAGTACGCGATTCGAGTTAAATCTAAATTAAAAAAAGAGAGAAGATAAATAATAATTTTTTTTCTATTAAACATAAATAATAAATTTATTATTATATATTTATGATAATAAAATAAAATAAAATAAAAATTTTTTTATTCAATTAATCTAATGGTTTCTTTCCCTTCTAAACTTTTTCATTTTGAAGGGGGGAGTTAAAATTAAGAGACAATAAATTTTAGTCCTCTTCCTTCTTTAACAACTAATTTATGACCTGCTATATATCCTTTGGAACTGTTGTACTAAAGAGATTAAGAAAGTTAAGGCATCTTGTGAGTTTGGTTGCAACTTAGCTTTTGCAGTAAAGCATTCCGCTTGCTAACTATAAGAATTGATTGATACTCTCAGTGACAACCTGAGGAATATATCCTTTTTACTTGAAATAAAGGAGCCATATACCAAACTAAGACTAGGACAGCGCATTGCATATATAGTACGTAGCTAAACCAATCACATTAATAAATTTTCTTATTGGATTCTCTCCCACAGATGGCTTGTAGATGATCTACTTGCTAATTCTAGTCGTGACATCGAAACCTTTTCTAATGCTGGATTAAAAAACGTTTATGGGATTAGCATTAATATATATGTCGGATGCTATAGTCACCCAAAGCAAGGATGGATCATAACTCCATTGGTCCAATAACTAAAAAGATTAATGATATTTACACACAAAATCTTATATCATTCCTACAATTAATGCTTTTATTTCAATATTAAAACAAGAAAATGCATATTTTAATACTTTCTTTCTATGCATTTTTAACCAAAATATAAAAATAAATATATAAAGATTATAATATGTAAATATCATTATTCTAATTTCATTTATTTATAATTAACCCATTTATTGTCGTGGGAAAGCACACACATTACATACGCGGTCCACTTGATTCTTGTCTGGGATATTTTGTTAAAGTAATAGTAATTATAGTTTGATGCATGTACCCAAGAAAAGTATAGCGTGATGCTTTACTTAACGTAATTAGCGACTATGTACGTGCTGATCTAATCATAACAAATATTATTATATGTAAAAAGTAATATGATCATCGGAAAGAAGCATACAAGCTAAGAGTCCTTTATATATATTTATATATAAAAGACCAAGAGTCTCTAATATCATTTGGAGCAGAACAATCTATTGAGCAGTTCAGTGCTAGCTAACTTTAATCCTTAATCTGCTACAATAAATTTAATTATTTTTAAAATAATTCATAAAAAATATCTTTTAATTAATTTTCTTAAAAAAAATTATCGGATTATAGTAGTTTAATTGATACTAGCTTGGATTATGTTTTTAATTCATTTCCCTAAATAAATTATCAAACTTAATCATCGCTTCCTTCTAGGATGCAAGGTGATGTGAGTGTGTTATGTTTTTGTCGTTGACAATTTTCAAATCCCTCCTGTCGTCGTAGTTATTCAAATCGCTGCAAAATTGCTTCTTACACATTAAGGTTTTGAAAGAAAAATATTTGTATTATTGTAATGTAAGAAAAATAACGAAACTCTCTTTTATAGTGAGTATTATTTTATGTGATCCTAATCTTTTGACCTACGCTATGAAGATACAGACTGATTGGTTTATAGTTTGAAAAAATTATAATTAATTAAGCAAGAATTGAAAAGAGATTGAAGGCACGTAAGTCAATTCTAAAATCATATTTCAAAACGGAGAATTTTCTCTTTATTGTTTATTTGAATAATTTTTCATGATAATTTTTAGAAGTAACATTCACATGAGAAAATATTTTTCAAATTTGTAGAAAGAATTAGAGAGAGAGAGAGAGGGGGTGTTGACTTGTGCGGTTGGGAGAGGAAGCGTGCGGTGGTTGGCAACCGGCGATGGATGGGTTCCGGTCAGAGGCGATGCAACTTCTTCAACTTGCGATTCCGGTGGAATCCGCTCACGTGACGATCTCATACCTCGGCGTTCTTGGCCTCCTTCAATTCAAGGATGTGAGTTCTCTTTCTGAGTATAAACTGAAGTACAACGCAGAAGCTAGCGTTGGAGTAAACGTGATTCTGTATAAAGGTGAATCCAAACACGCACTAAAGTCTAAATATAACGTACTCTGCTCTTGTTATTTTCAGCTGAATGCGGAGAAAGGCCCTTTCCAACGAACTTATGCGACTCAGGTCTGTTACTGTTACGTTTCTTTTTATGGTATTATATGGCAGGTTTTTTTAAAATTAATTATCACAAGTTTAGAACTAAATATCAATTCATATTCGTTTATACATCGATTTAAACATGCAATTAAATATTCATAAAAATGATATTTTTTTAATAGCTTCACAGATTATGATAATATCATGTCTTATTTTTTAAATGTTGCGTAATATTAACGTTGTATGTTAAAATTATTTAAGGTAATAAATAATTTTATATACTAAAATATTTTAAGATATTTTAAAAATTATCTTTTAAAATTATTTATTTATTAATATCTTATAATTTATTCCTTATTTAGTTATAATTCTTAATATGAATAAGAGTGGATACTTTAAGTTTTATTATCACATTATATTTCATTATAATGTATTTTAGTTAATATATTTTATATTAATTGTTATACTCATGCACGATTATTTATAAACGTAAAAATAAAGTTAAACATTGTTTGGTTTTCTTCATGTATATTATTTACAATGTAAAAACAATCAAAATACATGAATACAAAATAAATTAAGACAATAAAATATCTTTAAAAAAATTATTGGTTTTGATGGATAAAATATAAAATAGATATTATCTATTATTATTATTTTAATAGTATACTATCTCCAATCTTATTTATAAGAAATAAATATGTAATTCATTAAAATTAATAAAAAAAAGTTATATAACTATAAGTTATAAAATTATTTTATCATCTATATTTTTTGTCCTAGATTATAAAATTATATATATATATATATATATATATATATATATATTTCAAAATATTTTTTATATGCTTTAAAGATTATATTTTAAGATTAGATTTTCTATTATTTTTCATAATTTTCTTGTTTTCAAATATCTCATGATTAATTTTTTAGTTAGAATTATTAGTATTAATATGAGAGGGTATTTTAAGTTTTATCATTACATTACAATTTACTATACAACTTTGGTTTATAGACATTTTCGATCATATTAACTTTAATTTAATGCTCTTCATTTTCCTTGCCATGTTACATTATCTATTACCTCTAGTTCATGTACGGGACTAGTTGTTGAAACTTAAACATTTTCATGAAGAAAATGATTCATTGACGCATGTTAAATGGGTGGCGAGAAAATAAAAGATGGGATGGATGATGAGTTAGAGAAGAAAG